CAAACAAGCCTGAAAAGAAGTAAAGGGGTAAAGCATTCATGAGAGAGATGAAAACTGAACACTCTTCAGTGGCAGCATACAAAGCAAGCAAGGTAAGACATTCTTGGAAAAAGCAGAAGATATTTGCTGGCATACACAAGGTTTGTACTTGTTTTGGTTTATGAAAGATTATAAACTGACAATCTTCTGAAATTAAGTGACACTCATCTGGTCTAACTGCATATTTAAAATGTGTGACCTGGCTTAGAGCTTGCAGTGCCCTTCTTACCCTTGCAAACATACTATGTCCTTCATTGCTTCAGAACCTACCATATATGGAAATTAAGGATTTTGCCTTTTCTAGCTTCCCTTCAAATACTGACCATTTCTAGAAAAAACTAAAAAAAACACTGCAAATACCTCTTCCAAAGTATTGGTCTCTACCAAGTTCCCTTGGACCTGCAGGACTTTATTTAAAGATTCAGCTCTACTTTTGAAAGCTCTACTTTTGATTTACTAAGACAAATATCTTACTTCCTTGCATCAGTTAGCTTTCCTGGGCAATGAAACACCCTTGGAGGCAGGTTTATTGCTTGCAACAATCTTGTTTGAATAGCAGTCCATTCTAGGAGCATGTTATGGGACTGACATGAATTGTAAACTTGAGATGAATTCTACAAAAAAGGACAGACATGAAGAAAAAACCCAACAAAAATATCCCTTTTCTCTTTAAAAGTCCAGTAACTTTGATGTGGATCTTTGCAGGGAGAGAGTTGAGTTGGTCCACACTTTCTATGAGACAAAACCCAGAAAGAACCTGCACAAAGACTAACAAGTGTCTTAGAGAAATAAGAGGCTTTTTAAAGGTGAATTTCATAAATGAGTTATAAAAGCATTTTTTCTACTCAAGTGCAAAAGGAGTGATCGATAGATCACATAGTCACAGTGCCCTTCAGTGGGACTGAAGCAATGTGTTGAGAGACATCCTCTAAGTTCATCCAGGAGAAGAGACAAGTTTTGCACCTAGGAAAGAATAACTCCATGCACCAGCAAATGTTGGAGGCTGCCTAGCTGGAAAGCATCATGGCAGTAAATGAGATGGTTGTCATCAAACTGAACAGGAAAGATATGCTGCAGTGAGTCCTGCAATGGGCCACATAGATGACTAAAGGATTAGAGCATCTGCCATGTGAGAAGAGGCTGAGAGAGCTGGAACTGTTTAGCCTGAAGAAGGCTCAGGGGGAACCTGATCTATGAGTATAACAAAAATCTAATGGGTAGAAGGAGAGAAGACAGAGCCAAGTTCTCCTCGTGATGCTAAGCAAAAACACAAGAGGCAATGAACACAAGCAGAAATACTGGAAATCCCATTTAAATACACTTTGAAGATGATGAAATGCTCACATTGGTTTTCCAGAGAAGTTGTGGAATTTCCATGCTTAAAGATAATTAAATTTTGACTAAATTTTTAGGACCCAGCCTTGAACACCCTGCTGTAGGTGACCTTATTTTGAGCAAAGGAGGATTAGATGATCTCCAGAGGTTTCTTTCTCAGTGACTCTTTGATTCTGTGACCTATGAAATAAGGCAAGCCATGTAAAAGATATCACATTAGTTGTGGTAAAAAATGCTAACCTAGGTGAAACCTGTATCTTCAATTCAGCTGGAGCTGTACAGAGCTGCATGGGCTCACTTTGGTGGAGCAGCATGCAAGATCAGTGCTCAGGTCATGTCAAAATTAAGGAAATCAAAAAAACTCTAACTCTTAACTTAGGACACAAACTCAACTGGTCAAATACTTGGGTAATTCCAAGCAGAGTTTGCTATGGTGCAATATGATATGATAATTGCATTGTGCAAAGTGGAGCTGGTCAACTAAAAATAAATTGCCTGCTGAATCCAGACAATGGTTTCAGACAGGTCTATTAAATGTATTTTTGGAAGTAGATGCAGCTAGTGTGTCATCTTGTTCTCTGTCTCTCAGTTAAAAAATAAAGGAAAATTGGAAAACCCTTTGTTTTCTGAGCATCTGCAATGTGCAGACCAGAGAGTTTCCAAAAAGTGATTGTTGTGAAATGGGAAATGTTTCCTTCCTCAAATCTGCTCACATAAAACAGTAATGCGCTGTATATTGGGGCATGCAGATCTGATTTTATCACCAGGAAATGTACTCATCAGCTAAGGGCCCAGAGAAAGTGCATCTAAGGACTAATTGGCTCCATGTCTTTCTCTGCCTCTTGGCCAGTTGAGTTGGGGTAGCCAAGGTCTGTATTATTACACTCTCTAAATTATAAATAGTGGCCAACCTCATAATTGGAAATGGTGCCTTCTCTTTCTAACTTGTGAGTTGTGCCTTACATTGCTGAGAAAAGAACCTAATTGGTTCAGTGTTTATGCGGATGAGTAAGTTCCTGTGTTCAGACCCATCTTCTGTCACTGTTTAGTTTACTACTGTATGTGCATCTGTATGTTTTTCCTCCCAGTATCTGAAAGCCTCATAGCCATTAATGAATTTTATTTCTTATGACAACCATGAAAGAAATAGAAGCGTTCTCCTAATTTTACAGATAGGCAACTTAGACTAAAATAATTTGTTTTCTTGTTATTGCTGATGGCTATATGATTGAGTTTTAGTAGCCTATTCATTAGATTATTTTTCTTATAAAGTAAAACCTTAAAAATTTAAGTAAATTGAATTAGATTATACAAACACAGAGGTTAATTAGGTGATTAGTGAAGCTGAAACAACTGAACTTTTAAAGATTTACTATAGATCATAGAGATCTGAGTAAATAAAACATCAACTTTGAAAGCTTCTCTGAGAAAACGTCTGAGAATGTCATGTGTAGAATTTTACATTTAAGGAAGTGTTCAGCTTTGCATTAAGTCAAAGGGAATCACAGATCTGACCTGATAAAATAAGCACAAGTTTCTGCAGCTTTCATCACATTTCAGTTAAAAAAAAAAGATTGTACATATGTTTACATATTTTGTTGTAACTTCTACACCACTGATTACTGCGTCAACATACAGTAGCTATTTGAGATATTCTCAGATTATGATCTGATTTGAGGTAAATCCCCCTAACAGCACAATATAAATTTAAAAGGATTGTAAAATTTACAGTGCACTAAGCATAAATATATCAAACACAAAATATCTTACTAGAACAGGAATGAACACCACCATAGTTACATGAAATAAATATCCTACATGAAGGAAATTTGGGCAAATATTCAACCAGTTTTGAAGTAAAATGTTATTTTGAAAAAGGAAGGTATTCCAAAGTTACAGATTAATATAATACTACTAAAATACTAATTATATATACTTAGTTATATATAATTCTTACTAAAATGAAGTGCATTCATTACCCTAAGTTCATCTCAAATAAGTGTTCAATTGGAGTGTTTCATGACAATAATTCAAGAGTCTTTGAATGACTGAAAAATCTTTTGATGGCTTCGAAGTTTTTTTCTATTTATTGGTTTCTGGTCAAAGATTATAATCGGGTAAAATCAGTGCTCTCCTAATTGTACATGTTACACAATGTATCAGTGCTACTTGTCACTTAGCATACTTCTACTGAGTTATTTTTGGTACTTAAAAATATATTAACCTCACTCTAAGGATACTGAAATTAAGACTAAATTGTACAAAGGAATTTGGGAAATCTAATCTGCCTGCTAAAAATTCTTTCTCTGATGGGAATAAGATTCTCTCACTTTCCCTTTTTACAGCACAAGAATGAAAATATCTCTTAATTAAAGACTGGAGAGAAAAGAATTTTCCACAAAATTTATTAACCACAACTCTCGCTGCCTTTCTAAAAAAAAATAATTACCAGTCTGAGGAAGAGTCAGAAAGCCTAGACAACTGTTTCCCTCAGTATGCCACGGGGTTCATGCACTTCAGTTTAGTGACATGTTACATATGTTACTTAAAAGTTAATAGTGGAACCCTCAGAGGAGAGTTAAATGGAAATCAAACTGCAACACGGAGTTTTCTGTAACTCTTTATTATAGATACAGATATAGATATAAGTATATATATAGATTCAGAACACTTCCTTATAGCCTTCATTATAGCCTTTTCTGGGTTTGGATAGCTAAATCTCCTTGAAAATCCCTGTGCCATTCAACTATAAACTGACACTTAATAAGGGGAGACAAGCCTCGTTCAGCTCTGTAGAACCATCCTATTGTGCTTATCCAGACCTGGGAACATGTAAATAAACTGATATGCTAACACAGCTGGAAGTCTGAAGTAAAAAAGGTTCTTTTTTTTTTAAAATTTTATTTTTGTTTAAATAATCAGTCAGCAACTTTGAAGGGGTAAATAGCAAGAATGAGGAAAGGAGGAGATAAGGCATTTACCCCTTCATTATCTCTATGGTCAGAAAAAAAAGAGACTGTTAAAAACAGAAGGGAATTTCAACTGAACCTGCATCATCGTGCACTGATTCACCCTCTAGATTCTGTCTGTGAAAGCTGACCTGCAAGTATACAACTTTTGTTTATTGAAAGGGACCTAGAATTTAAAAAGTGAGTGAAGCAAGCAGAGAATAGGTGAATTAGATCATGTGGGGTGAATTCTTCTTCTTTCTTGCATTTTTCCTTACCTGACATGTATTTTTTAAGGATTTATGCAAATATAGAGGAAAAAGGTCTTTAGTAAAGAGCTTGCAATTCAAAATAAGAATGAAGAGTGATAAAGTATCAGAGGTCAATGACTTAACAGTAGCTACAGCATACCAGTAATCTAACTGTTGTCATATTTTCTGCAGGCATTATGGAAGAAATATAAAGAACCTACTAGAAAAAGGATAATGAAATACCCTGGCAGTTGGGAGCTTTTAATAGGTGCAAGGAACAGCACAGGAAGAATCAGAAAGTTGTGTTTTGGTTTCGTTTTAATGATTTTAACAAATAGACTGATGGGAGACAGGAACTGACATCTTGCTAACAAATGGCTTCATCACCACAAATTGAGTTCAGGCAAGCGGTATGTGGAATGTCAGTCAGAGATGTGGCAGCACTGCCCCCTCCCAGAGCTGGCTGTCCTGTCACCTGCTGTCTCCTGCATGAATGCTCCTGCTGAATCCCTGTTGACACAGAAGAAAGTAGACTGGTAGCAAATAAAATTCCTGTAAATGAAGCTGCTCTTCAGTTTCCCTTTGCTCCCCCATTCCAAGGCACTCCTGACATCATCCAAATTTTGTATAAAGCTCCTTGTCCCTTCTCTTGAGAGACTCCATTGAACAATGCTGCTATTCTCTCCACATTCCAGTATGTCTGCCTCAGGACTCAGCAAGGCAAGTGATGAGCCATCCTTCAATATACTTTGAAGAAATTAAATACTCTTTTATCCCCTTCCTACTTATATTTTGTTTTAAATGAACCTGGACACTCCTACCAGCTTTCACTGGTAATAAGCAAATAAGTCTGTTCTCTGAAAAACCATCAGGCCACTATGCAATATGCAAACTACATAGAGGCTACTAATAAATTAATTCCGTCCAAAAAAACTTTATCTAAGCAGAAGAGATCTAGCAGCAGACCAATTCTTCTGACCTTTTGGAACCTCAAACAAAATCATAATAAAGCATGAAGTAAATGAAACTTGGGACATACATCTTTACTGTGTGTATGAAAGACAACAAAGTAGTTAGAGGCAAACTTTCATGGAGCAAAGTTCTGCTGACTTCATGTGGCAAATGTGACCTACATTGCAGATTATGTCCTGACCTTTAGAGTACCACTAGACCTCAACCCTTGGACAACTCAGCACTCTGGCTGAACTAAGGAAGGGCTGGGGACTCCACTTTCTCTGTCAAAGAAAGACAGAGATAGAGCAGGCTTCCAGAAAAGAGGATGATCGAGAGTATAAAACGCCATCAGCCCTTCGCTCTAAAGACCACATTCCATTTATTACACTGATCAAAGTGAACTTCAATTCTTTTTTCTTCAAAAGGGGTGTTAAAGAGTTTTTTGGTCCTGCTGTTGCCTAATAAATATCCATACTGTTCCACCTATCCATAAAATACTACAAGAATTAGGTTTTACAACTACCAAATTGTCAATGTCAACAGGAAAGGAATTGGTGATACACAATGTTTCCTAACTGTGAAATTGCTTTCTTGTCCTTTCTACAGCACAACATTTTTGCATACTCTTGGAACTGGTCATCAGCTCCCCTTCATAAAAAGCATAAAAAAACCCCCAAAACCCTCCCCTAATTTTTTTTGAACTTTAGAAGAGAAGGTTGGCGATTTGGTGAAATTTATTATTTTTTTTCATTTGGTGTGGAATGTCACTTTCAAATTCACACCATCAAAACACCCAATTCTTCTGCTTGCATCTTTCCCTGCTTTGCATCAGAAACTAGGCTTGTGCAGTAGGTCAGTTAAACTTTTGTTAATGGAACTGGATGAAAAGCAAGTTAAAAAAGATCAGACAAAAAAAATAAATTGACCTGTGTTATTATCTCTGTACTTAAACCTATCAATTAGCTGGACTGACGTAGGGAAATGATGAAAAACACGTAATATATACCAAGAATAGGATGTTTTTTCCTCCTCAGCTGAATTGTGTCTCACCTCAATCCCCTTCCAATAAACTCATATGTCTACAAGGCACCACTTGGAAAGCTTCTTACCTTGGTCTTTGAGGTATACAAAGAACATGAAAAACTATTCAAAGACAGCTGTTTCCTGACTGTATGTTTGGGAGGATTCAGCTGTGCTGTTGAGTTCATCACAAGCCTGTAGTGATGGCTACTGATTTATGATGAATGGAGGAGGAAACAGCATGTGCTCAAGGGAGATGCAAAGAAATAGAAAATTCAAGGTTTTTAGGATGTCAAGGCAATATGCTCAGAAGTCTGCACTTTTGCAAGACAGTGCTCATCTTGCTGCCCTTTTGGATCTCTGTTCGTTTTCCTCTCAGGCAGTGAATACAGTTGCACTGTTTTCCACTGATCTCTGAATCAGCCAGCACTCCCATCTCACTGATGGTAAATTGCATTGTCCTCAGCACCAGCACACACATAATTTGGCACACACATACATTTCTAATATGATTATTTAAGGTATAAATATATAAATGAGCTCAAGGATGGAATAAACTGCAGGACTAGCTTCCAGCCTTCTAAGGACAGGTTTAATGTGATATTTGGAAATCAAAATTTCATAGGAGTATACTTGCGATGCTCTTTTTCCCTTTAACTAGATTACTTTTTCCATCAAGGTATCTTTTACTAGTATACATTGTAATGCAGTATACCAGGATGCCCCATTGTGGGCTGAGGGATCAGTAATTGTACTTATTTTTTCAAAAGAAAGTTGAAGCCATAAATCCTAGCTGGCCAAGAGCTGGTGTAGACCTTTAACTAAGTCTGTGGTTGTGTTGACAGCAATATTAATTTAAACTTATATCCTACAAAGATATGTAAAAAATACAGATCTGCACAAGCTCATTTGCCAAATTCTTAGGAGCTTAAGAAGCTAAAATCACACCTTTCACATGTATAGCTATTCATTGTGTAGTGGTTTTTTTTGGTCAGGCCCAAAAACATATCTACTTTGCCAGAGTTTGAAGGAGGGAAGGAAAAATAGGAAGAAAAAAGATGATAAACAGATGGAACAAGACAGGGCAATTTTATTTCCTCACAGCTCAGCTTAAAGATCTGTCAAGATATTAAGTAAAATTTGTGTGACTTCATGTACCTAGAACTTGCTATATTGATGCCCATTTTTCCATAATTCACTTACTAAGGGTCTCATTTAGCAGAAATTTGGTCCAGAGCTACATAATGTCAACCTTTTTCAGTGTTGTTGCTGAAGAGAATCATGAGCTTAGTTGGCCTGACTTCATTAATTTCTGAGACATGCTCGTGAGTAGAGAATTTATTAGCGTACCTCTTCTTCCTGTGAGACACTAATCTCCAGAGTCAAAACTCACCTTGCATAGCTGCTGAAGCTATTCTTGTATATCTAAAGTTAATCCGGCTCTGAGTTACAGTAATGATATTATATCCGTTTAACAACAGGTATGGAAACGTTGTTCTTTTAAAACTATCCCTAAGCACATGTTCAATTGAATATCTTGGATACCTGGCAGGACAGTATCTGAGCAGTGGTTTTCATTCTTCCTCCAAGTTATTTCACTTTAAATAGGTCAAAGATACAAACCAAAGTGGATTTTTTAGATAAGACCAGTTTGGGTTTTCATTAATGCTTAAACTCTAGTTAATGAACACTAATTTACTAGGATGATTATATTATAGACTGGACAAAAATAAGAAAGATTTTAGTAATTTGTATGCAAAGCCCAGCATCCCAGTCTCAAGCAATGATCAATGTGATTTGCTAAAGCAAATGTAAAACATATAGTGACACTTGGTATATTCTCCTGGTCTACTGGCATTTTAGAGACAAAGTTGTATCCAGGACTTGGTGTTTAACAGCCTTTGATGAACTTTTCTTCCTAGGAACTGGTTAAACTGCTCTTCTAACTCATTTATACTTTGGGATACTACAGTGTGCTGTGTCTCTGATTCTGATTTCCTTTATGCTGTCTGTAGTAATCCTTCCTGTTGTTCATATTGAAAATTTCACTGATGCTCCTAATCACTTGGTGTGCACCTTTTCTGTGCTATCCCTGACTTTGCAGAGATCTATTATACAATCTTCTTCACTCCCAGCTTGGTCTTTGGATGTTTAGAAACTCCTCAGGAGCAGTTTCATAACTTTGACTTTCTCTGACATACTTTTTCACTTTTCCTGGGCTGGGTGAGGAGAAAGAACTGCCTAGAGTGTTCAGTGGTGCAATGGCATTTTCTATTTGTTCTTTCTCCTCCATTGATTTACTAAGAAAGATGGATCATTCTTCCATGTGAATACCATGAAAGAAATGGTGCCTGCATGGAGATAACACCCCGTGGGAGGCTTGACATTCCTGCTACCATACCTAGCATGGAACATCTACTAGAAGCCATCAGCAGCTCTTCAAAATAAAATGAACTCACATCTAATCCATGAAGGAATTGGCTTATGAGTCAATTAATTAACAAACTAATTAACTGACACAACAGCCAGTAATGGCCCTTGTTTCTAAATGAGAGTGGTCATATGCATGCCCTATTGAAAATGGTTCCTGGCCTTGGACAGCTCCTTAGCTATGACTAGGAATTGCTTGGGAGAGGTATGCCTGGGTGAGACTTTTCCAGGGACTCCTTTAACAATTTAGCAGAACAGACACTTCAGTTCCAATGACCAGCAGCAGTCCTAGGCACAGGTTCACTTGCAGAGAGAGAAGCACGGGGTGGATAGGATCAGCACTGTGGTGTACGTGCTGAGTGGGTGCAAGTCCTCTCAAATCTCTGACGTTGCTTCCCTGTGCATTTGTGCTGTATTTGGAGCAGAAGAAAAGTATTCAAAAATTAGATGAGTCCAGCTCTTTTCTTCTACAGTATACCTAGAATACTTAAGAGACATAACAGCGTAAGAGAGTGATGCTTAAGAATGAGCACTGCTGAGGTCCTACTTATGTAAAATATGCATTTAAAAAAGGAGATGATTCATGTTAATAAGCAATTAAGTATTTATAACATAATCCAGGAACCGAGATCAGGTGTTGCAGAGGGGAGTAGAGGATTTTCTCTTATTTAAGATTAGGAATAATCAGGATTAGATACGGACATTAAACCTTTGGAGCACACAAGTTCTGCAGAGTTAGCATATCCAGAAACTGATTTGCTTAAAAACAGGTTAAATAATTTTTAACATACATACACATATATAAATCAGGCCTTGCATGGGGATAGATAACTCCCCAAAACTTTATTTAAATATTACATAAGGGTATAATTAGTATGTAAGTAGATCAATATTAATTCCTTTATGGTTGGATTTTGATTCCCATATTCACAGAGAATCTGATGCCCTATCTATATATAGAAAACTGGCCAAAAATGTTATTCAACCCCTGTTCCAGTCTTTTTGATGGTATTTTTTTAAAAGACAGAGACAAAAATATAATATTTCTCTTGTATATATATATATATATATATATATATCTGAGTGTAATTTTGTAGATTAATATGTTTAGATAATGATTTTGTTCCTTGATTAATTATTTAGATGCAGTACAAAAATCAAAGTTTCAGGTTAAAATAGCTATTGTCTGCTTTTGTGAAGAGTTAGAAACTAGGTCATTGCAAGAACTGGAAACATCCCAGTGGTCTGTCATATTCTATATTTTTATGTGTAGGTAATAGAGTATATCGTTAATGTGAGATCTGGCATGTCTTATTCTAGAACACCCTAATTTAAGTTGTGTCAGCTGTGAAACTTGCCAAGGGAGATAGAAGCCAAGCACAGTCTGTGGGTGCTAGGCTGTCTTAACAACTTTTATGTGACAGCTCAGAAGTCTCTTGACCTCATGGCCTAAACATCTTTGCATATAAACACCAAAGTTTTAAAACTCTAGGTTTCTGCTTTGTATACCTGGGTGAGCTCCATAGCGCATCATCTTGGTGCTCCATGCAGCCCTACAATTAATCCAGGATGGGCAGCCTGAACAGGGGGCTCTGCTAATTGGGTCTTGTTCATGGGAAACTCGTTCCAGCCCCTGGAAGATGCTGGCAATAAATGAAACTCCTCTGTAGTACCTATCTCCCTGCAGCCTTCTGCTGCTGCTGTTGCCTGTGCATTTCTGTCTGCTTGTCCCACATGGCCACCAACACCATGAGTATGGTGCCTTTGCTCTGTGCTGACAGTTGCCCTCTCTGGCACCCCAGGCATGTTACAGGCAGCAGAGTGCTGGAGGGTGTCACTTTCCCTCCCTTCTGTAACTCAAGTTACAAAGAACCAACGTACGAGTAAACTTCACCCAACAGTCAGTGGCTGCGTGCCACATATGGCTATGTTTTCTAACACTTTGTAATAGCTGTTTTTATCATGGCTTCATTTTCCATAAGTTAATATTTTTATTCATACATTGTCTTCAGAAAAGCTGAGCTATAATTATGGAGGGTTTGTCCAAAGCATACAAAATAGACAATTCATCTCACTGATTTCTTTGAGGTGGCCCCAAAATGCTCAGGGAGGGAAGTGAGTAACAGCCTAAGATAATAGCTCAGAGTGATGTAAACCATTCTGCTTCTTGTCCTGCATATCCCTTCCTTTCTTCCTGGGCTTCACACCCCCTTCTTTCTCCAAGGAAATTATGCAGATGATGATATAAGCAAGTGTGACAAGGCTCGGTATTCTGTGCAGTTATTTTTCCCAACTGTATATTTGCTTTAGATTATTAACTCTTCACTTACAAAATTGCTCTCAATTATAGAGCTGAATTCTTTGGCAACAGGCACAAACCAATGACAAACTTTGTGAAAAATAATAAATATTATAAGAAAGAAAGAAATACTATAATAAGAAAAAGTAATAGTGTTGTTATTTATTATCACTATATACTTGTGTTCTACTTGTGTGCATATTTGACATATGCACATTTCTCTCACAAATGTTCATGTCAAATCACCCTTCAGAACTGATGTTTGTTTAACTATCTCCTGGCCCATGTTCCCAAGCCATGGTACCAAACAAAGGGCTACCTACAAGATATATTCCCAAACTAAACTGCATCTTTTTTCTGGATCCAGAATCCCTCAGGCCAGGTGCAGCTGCAAACCCAAGTGATCAGTTCCATGCAGCAAGGAGGACAAGGGAGGCCACAAGGTTCAGGAGCACCCAGAGGTACATGCTGTAAAACAGACTCCTCAGCTATAGTTTTGCCCCTCAGCAGGTCCCTTGTTGCACAGGAACCTTGCCATATGTCCAAATCCAGGAGGAAAAAAGGTGAGCGACAAAGATGTTGAGAAGTATGAAAATTTCAAAATCCAAATACGAGTTTCATGGCATACAGGAAAATACACACACAAAAAAGAAATCTGGAAAATCATCTTGTTAATTTTTTTTTTTGGAAGCTAAACCCAGGATAACACCCTCAATCCTATCCTTCCGTACCCTTGCCACAAGATTTTAAAAAGACACCTTACCTTAAGGTACACAACATTCCCATTTGCTTTTCTGGCTCTTCAGGCACGCTCCCTAGCCCCATCCTGCCCTCTGGAAAATGCTCTACTGCAAGGAGAAAAATGAGACAGAAGATTGGTAATACTCATCAAGTCTGCGTTGGTTTGTTTCTTGCGTGTGTGTGTTTGGGAGGTCCCAAGAGATGAAGCTGATGCAGAGTAGGTGGATGACTGTAGTGGTTATGGGTGGGCAAGTTTTTAAAATAAAAGTGGCAGAATAGATGATAAGGGATGTGATGGGCAATCTTAGGAATGCAGGGCAGGAAATGCATTGTGAATTTGTGTCTTTCCATGGGGAAAGGTATATATCATCTATCATCATCACTGTCAGTGGTTAAAACTGATGTTGAAAGAAACATCAATCTATGACTGTCGTGGTGTAACCCAAGTCAGCAATCAGGCCTCATGCAGCTGCTCGCTCACTCCCGCACCTGTGTGACTGGGGAGAGAATTGGAAGGGTGAAAGCCAGAGAACTCGTGGGTTGAGATGAAGACAGTTTAATAGGGAAAGCAAAAGCCAAGCATACAAAGAAAAGCAAGGAACTAATTAATTGCTACTCATGGGCAGGCAGATTTCCAGAAGAGCAGGGCCCCATCACGTGTAACTGTGACTTAAGACACCAAACGTCCTCCCCCACTTCTCCTTTCTTCCTTCCACTTTATATATTTGATCATGATGTCATAGGGTCTGGAATATCACTTTATATATTTGATCATGATGTCATAGGGTCTGGAATATCCCATTGGTCAGCTATGGTCACCTGTCCTGGCTGTGTCTCCTCCCAGTCTTCAATACACCCCACAACTTCCTTTCCAGTGTGGCAGCATGAAAAGCAGAAGAGGCCTTGGTTCTGTTCAAACCATGCCCAGCAATAACAAAAACATCTATATTATCAAACCTGTGTTCAGCAGAAATCCAAAACACAGCCCCATACCAGCCACTATGAAGAAATTTAACTCTACTGGTGCTGAAACCAGCATATTCCATACCATTTACATCATGCTCAGGTCCCACACTATTCAATACAACCTCATTAACCACCACTCCCCTTCCGAGTCTTTGATATAACACAAAGATGTTGTTCCTTTAGCCTATGGACCACCCCTGTCCACACAATGTCCACAAAACATCTGTTGAATTTATGTAGTCCATGACTTTGGGCTCCATCTGTTATGGTCACTCAGGATAGGAGAGGTGGTGTATGTGGGGAGTTAGTGGGCACCAAAGCCAACTCAGGTCACTGCTGCACTGCAACTGCCTCTTGTAAGGCTTCTCCTGGTAAGGCTTCTATTCCTTCTTCCCTTGTAAGGCTTAGCTCAAATCATAGTTTACAATAGTTTAAAGGCACATCACATTACAATCTCCATCCCTGGTCCTCGGTGGGGTCACAAGTCCCACCAGCAAATCTGCTCCAGCATGGGCTTCTCACAGGGTCTCGTCACATCCTCCTACAGGCATCCACCTGCTCCAGCATGGGGTCCTCCAGGGACTACTTGTGTATCCCTGCTCTCTTGTGAACTCACTCACCCATCATAGACCCTTCAACTCAAGCTCACACTGGAGTTCTAGCCTGCCCAGTACAGCAGCACAGAACACAGCAGCAATGCCTGGCCACCCGCCAGCCCAGGCGCATCGCCATGGCTGTTATCAAAATGTTCCCAGGCACAACAGAGTGAGGTGATAAGCAGCACAAGTGAAAAGCAGCCAGCAATGAGCACTATACAGTCAAACAGACAAGCCCCATGGAAGCAAAGGAGACTGCCCATTACTAGCTAAACAGCGCTATCAGATGTAAATTCAGTCTGCCACATCCCAGTCAAATCTATCATTATCTCAAACTCTTTGAACCCCACATTGGGTGCCAAAATGGTTTGGCATGACAGGCATGGTTTAACCCCAGCCAGCAATCAAGCCCCACACAGGCACTTGCTCACTCCCCCACCAGAGAGATCAGGGAGAGAATTGGAAGGGTGAAAGCCAGAGAACTCATGGGTTGAGATAAAGACAATTTAATAGGGAAAGCAAAAGGCAAGCACACAAGCAAAGAAAAACAAAGAACTAATTTACTGCTTCCCATGGGCAGGTATGTTCAGCCATTTCCAGAAGAACAGGGCCCCATCTCACCTAACAGTGACTTGGGAAGACAAATGCCATCACTTCAAATTTCCCCTTCCTCCTTCTTCCTTCCACTTTATATACTCAGCATGATGTCAGTATGGTCTGCCTTTGGGTCACCTGTCCTGGCTGTGTCTCCCCCCAGTCTCCCATGCATCCCCACCTTCCTTTCTAGCGTGGCAGTATGGAAAGCAGAAAATGTCTTGGCTCTGTGCAAGCCCTGCTCAGCAATTACAGGAACATTTCTGTATTGTTCTGTGTTTAGCACAAATCCAAAACACAGCCCTGTAAGAGCCACAGTGAAAAAAATTAACTCTGCCCCAGTTGGAACCAGCACAATAACTTTGTCTTAAAATTGTAAAATTAGAAAAGCACATACTGAGAAGAGGTGAACAAGGGAATAACATTTAAGAAGCGACTAAGCATCAGGCAAGGAAAGAAAACTCTCTTTTAATGGAATACAGTAACTCTATTAGCTGTCTTCAATGAAACTTGAGCTAGGGTTGTACTGACTAATGTAAAGATACCTATGAAACCAAGCGCTTCATGAGCTTCTAGTGTAAGACCTGGGGTGCTACACTACTTAGTCTTGTGACTTGAACAAGATCTTTAAATGGAAAATTCTAATAGATTATGTTTATAGGTGTTGAAAGAATATAAATATTGTTATCTGACTGATCTGAAAATTGATTTTTTTCTGTTGGAAGCATTGGACTTTCTGCAGAAATTATCTATGTCGGATATATTTTTAGGTAAGTTCTGGAATTTTATTGTCATGTTGACATTTTGCATCGCTCCAGTGGTACTCATTATAAAATAATTTATGAGCACTAAATCAATGTAAGTTATCTCCTGAGTCTATGATTCTGCATCCCTTCTGACTGTGTTAGTGGCCAATATGTCTAGTTGCTTTCCAGAACAGAAAGTACACAGTAATGATCCGATTATGTACCAAAAACCAAACAAGATTCCAGGCAAATTACAAGACAGAAGTTGAGAGAAACAAGAAAAAAAAACAGGTTTTCATCCTTTACCTTCTTACTTTTAATATTTGTGAAGGATTATTATAAGTAAAGGATACTGTTATAATAAATTATGCATACGGAAAAAGCTTTAACATCCCAAAACATTTCCCCTCCTAAATTTTGAAACATCCTACTACAGCCCATTCATTTTAAAAATCTCAGAACAGATCTCAGCAGAACACGAGTCATCAATAACCTATGTTTGCAGCCATGCTTGCCCCAGATGGCAGGAGTCTTTCAGCCACAGAATGCAGGTTCAGACTACTGGAGGCTCCATCATCTCCCTTCCTGCCCTGTATATAAGTGCATTTTGTGTGTCCTGTTTTGGGATTAGTATTAGGCAGTTGCAGAGTGGTGTCTCTGCTCTTTGTCATTTTCTTACTACAGAGAAAACCAGAGCCAAGCCCCACAACACCTTAAATCTGCATATCAGGATGCCTGCTCTCATTGGAAAGCAAAAGAAAATGCCCCCAGGGACACTTGTGACCATCAAACAGTGCATTATGAAACCTGAATATACAAAAGGTGAATTAAATTTTAATAAAGTAACTTTAGTAAAATTGCTTTCAGTTAATAGCTGAATGCCAGGAGTCGGTCAACTTCAGCTAAGTGGTTTGTAAGGCTGGAGGTGTGAGGTGCAGGGGAGGCTGACAGCCTCTGTGAGGATCCCATAAGATGGCCTGTCTGCAGTGAGCCAGTGAAGGAACCAAAGATTCAGAGTTTGATTTCCTGGTAAGTGTTGTGGCGCCTTGGGATATTTCAGCTACAAGATGATTTGTAAAGGGGGTTTAATTGTGCTATGGGTAACCTATTTGTGATTGCTGAGGAAGCAAATGCTGTAGCTTGTCATTGGATCTCATAGTAAAGGAAGCAAAAGCAAATCTGGGTCAAAGCATATCTTGGTGTTTTGTCTATTTTTTTCAGAATCTGGGAAAGATCCTACAGGAATATTGCCTTTTTTTCACAAGGTCTCTTTACAGATCCTGGATATCACTTAAACTTTTTGAGCACAACTGAAAGATTGCATGGACTGCAGAAATAAAGGGTTGAGCAGAGGCACAGAAGCAAACAGCAGTTTTGCTGGAGATCAGAGCAGAGCAAAGCAGCACAGTATGAACAACCAGCAGAAACAAGAACAGGAGGTTGTGACTGCTGGCAGTAGCTAATGGTAAACCTGGTGAGCAAACAGGTAGCAGATGCAAGACCAGTGTTGGTGTGAGTAGCAAGAGGTAAATAAGAGTCCCTCAAAAAAAGTGATGTAGAGCACAGCTCCTTTGTCAGGGCTCAAATGGTGAACTATGAGGGAAGAGATTGTAAAGTATTCCAGGAACAATGATCAATACCTGTCACTTGGATGTCTCTAAACCTGGACTGGAAATGGAAAGTGGACTTATTATCTTACAAATATTCAGACCTGTGGTATTAGAATATGGTTAAGACTATTAGAAAAATAAAAATAGCTTTACAGAAAAAAAGCCCAAAGTCTATAGAGTCATAAATTCCATCTCTGATGGAGAAGATGTGTGGAAAAGGACAAGTGGGGAGGGACAAATCCCTGCTATGTCCTTCCAGTGAGTCCCTAGCAGAAGGGTTAAATCTTCTAGAAACAAATATGCACAGGGGCTATATTTGGATCTGATCGTTCATTTTCATTAATATGTTTAGGACTAGAAATATTATTCCTAGATTACTTTCCCCGCAAATATTTCAAAATGAGCAATAGTTTCCCCCTGCCTAGTTATTTATCAGAAAGGAGCCAATCAGAATAATTTACTGTAATTCATTAAGACTGACATCTTGTGGTTGTTTTTCATATGACGCCTTCTGTCCGAACTTCTTAGGAAAGACCGAATTTATCCCTTGGCTTAACCAGCTGTTGTAAATCCTGTCTGTGTTACTGAGGATGTATTAGACACACGATTCTGAAAATTATTCAGCAACCCCACCAGGGAGCTGAGAAAAGAATTAATGCTGTATAAAAATTTAATTCTCTTTTTTATTTGCCCCGCAGAGCTTTATGGTGTTGAATTGTTAATGCACAAAAGCATTCTTACCACTGCAATAACAGCCTCTTCAATTGTGTCTCCGTTTACATGATAATATTTATCATCTTGAATATTTTTAAAACTGTTAGTAATCCTATCCTAGAACACCAAGAAAACTTCAAGGCGTTGGCTAGAGTAACAAGGGAGTCTCCTTTGGTTTGAAATTCTCTTTAATGATGTTGTCTTTTGTGAGCTTAAAGTTACCATGTCTAGCAGAATGTGTATAGTGAGATCTGCCTTTTGCATGCATTGAATGAAGACAATTACTGGGACTCAGCTGTGCTCCCCAAGGTTTCATCATGTATTTTAGTGTGCTGTGAGGGTAAAACGATGCACCTCCTATCTCTGAAAAATAGGATCCATTTCGGAGAATACTATTTTTGCCAGTCCAAAGATTATAGAAATTGCCACATTATTTTTTTAATCTCAGGGATTGTGTTAAGAGGCTCTATATTCACATTCTTCTAAATATTAAGGTGTAAGTTTCTTTTTTAGACAGATGTTTGCAACTGGCAATGTGTTGATACAAAGGTACAAAGTAATTTGGATGTTTATTGGAAACTCTGCAATCTTCTATTGGTACTTGATTAGCTTGTTCATAGGCATCAACAATGTCTGCAGGAATGCTTCACATGAGGCCTGGGATATCAAGGGTGGTCCACCTGTATAGCATCAGTAGCAAGTAACAAAGAAACAGCAGAACAAATATCTTCAGTTATTTTATCAAGTGATAAAATGTATGTAACTGTGTATGTAACTAATTAATTTATTTGCTTGAGAAAAGAAAGGAGATTGCCTTCCTTTGAACTTTTCTGACTGACAGAATGCTTCCTTGTCTCCCAACAACTAAAAATAGCCGAGTTTCAATGTACTCCCAAGATGAAAATGAGTTGATTAGGACCAAATTAATAGATTTTGCTTGTCCTTCAAAACAAAATCAGCTCTAGAATGACAGCAAATAGTGTCAGCCTGAATACAATTTTTACAGAGTTAACAAGGACCTGAAACAGGGAGAGCTAGTGAAAACCTCAGTATATCATAAACTCAAAATTTGCTGCAAATGGCACAAAATAATGGTTCCACTGTTCATTCAACATTTTTAGGTTGTTGTTCAGGTTGTAACATAGTATTTCAGCATTTTTCACCTTGTGGTTTTCCTTTTTCTGATCTCTGCTTGAGTGTAGTGATGATGAGTTACAGGACCTTAAGTCATGTTTATTGTTGCAGAATTGTAAACATGCTTGTCTAGAAACATGAG